TATTGCTATCTAAAATATTGGTTATATTTTACATGAACTGGTGCTTCTTGGTATCAGAGTCCTGTAAGAATTACTTAGGACAAAAACTTTTGAAATTGTTAATATGATCTATTTTTGAAGTATTGATAATAGATGTAGAAGGTTTGATGAACCGTCCATCTTTCAAATCAACCGCATTAATAAACCTGATTCAAGGAGCGCGTCTCATCATTACATAATAACATGTTTTGCCATACACACGAACCCCGTTAGAAAGGAGCTGAATAAATGACTCACGACCGCGATCCTCCCACTTCAGTACTCGGGATAAGATGGCGGCCGAGGGAGAGTATGAGTCGATCCTGTGCGTTAAACCAGATGTCAACGTTTACCGCATCCCGCCTCGTGCTTCGAACCGCGCCTACAGGTAAGGCAACACCTGCTGGGATCAGACAGCTCTTTGGTCGGGTTTCCAGGTGTAGATCGGATCCATCGTTCTCTTGGTCAGTGCCCACTGAGTTCCACTAATACAAGTAAAACTGTTTTCCTTATGCTGTTTGTGTTCCAAACATAAACAGAGATGTTCAGTGTTTTAGACTTAATGCGTGACGCTGTGTGCGGTGTCACACGAGCTGGTTATTTGTCATCATTCTGGATGGATCAATATGGGCAGGTTGCCAGGACAGTCCTCCTAGGTTGGAGCTGAGATTGTTCCAACAACTGACCCAAATGATACAGATTAAATCTAAAACCAGTTTTTATTTATTTATTTATTTTTAACTCCTTCTAAGTTCGTGGTTTCTTTAGTGTTTAATTTCACATGCTGGTCACTGCATGGCTGGTATGCCCCCTGGCAAGAGCCTTTGGGCAAAAACTGAACGTTGGGGCCCTTAATTTCCCCCCCAACCCTGTTGAAAAGCAGCAGTAATGAGACTTTTTGGTCTGAAAAGAAGATTAAGGAATTATGTATTTTTAAACATATCAGCCTGTAACCCACGAAATCACAATAGGATGGACTGGCGACCCCCTAAATGCACATATGATTACTTTACTCTGAATTTAGTTATAAATGCAAAGTGAGGTAAAGATGTATATTTTTAAATAATACATTTTTTATTACATTAAATTAATTTATAATTTTAAATTATATCCAATTATGAAATGGTTCATTTTCCCATTTGAGTGACATATTTAATATCTAAATCATGTATTGGATCAGAAACAAATAAATTTTACATCACTGTTTAAGTCTTGCTACATTTATTCATTTAATCTGAGGTTTATATTTATTTATTTTATGATATATTTCCTCCCCCTTTGGGAACTTCTGCCCAGAGGGATGGGTTAAACACAAAGAACAACTTTCCCCACAGAAGGACAATAAAGCGATCTTTCCTTCTCCATTTATTCCAAAATGTCACATATAAGTTAATGTATCTAGCTTTATTACATACACAATAAATCACATTTAAAGCTATTAAATGCTGCTTTCCCCTCCTAAATCCATAATGTCAATTTTATACAATTGTTTTATTTGTTTTAAATTTTACAGTAATCTCCAGGATTATGAATGCAACAGTACACCAGCGCAGTATGATGAAATTTAATTGATTGATTTAGTTTCTTAAGAATTTTTATAACTTTTTCATGCAAGAAAACTTATTTTCCCATTGAGCCACAGTTGGTAACACTTGATAACACTAAGAGAAAACCAAAAATAACTCATTAGGTGTCCCTAGCCAAAGGATTAATCTGGGTCTGTATTCTGTACTGATAGGAGGTAGCCACAAGGTGGCGTTACTGTATAAACTTAAAAATATGAATATAAATGTTTACTTTTCTTTGCTTGTTTTAAAAGGTATTATGACCTATAGTAAGTCCTGTGGCAAATATGTGTTTAAAAAAACAAGTGAAAAAAGTACTTAGTTTAACTGTTGACACTTTTTATAACACAGAACCATAAAGAAAAGACGCTAAAGTATCAGTTGTAGTGATTTAGGCTTTAGATAATCTAGTTGATCTTTTAGAGCTATGCACAATGAGAGAAACAGTAAACATGGCCAACTTTTCTAAAACCTTATTATTCAAATGTAGTATATCTTTTTTCTAGAAGCTCATTTCTATTAGAACCTTGTTCTGTATAGGTTGCATTGAATCAACCAAAATGTGGATGAAAAAAGTATAATAAAACATAATAAAAGTCTTGATGGAGGACTAAAGCTTTCTGTTAAGTTTTTCTTTTTCATGTTGAGCCTTGGCATTGCATCAGGAGTAGGCATATGTAGAGCCTTCCGTTCTGAAACTAATGTCTGTTAGCTTTTGTCTGCAGGGCAGCTGACTGGAAGCTGGACGCTCCAGACTGGTCCGGTCGGATGAGAATAACAGCCAAAGGCAAAGTAGCATACATCAAACTTGAAGACAAGATCTCAGGTTGGATATAAAAATTGTTTACTTAATGTTTTTTTTTTTTAAATCGCTATGAGTCACGCTCCCCGGAGAGTAGAAGTCCTGCCGATGTGACATTTCCACTCAGAAAGAAAACACATCTGTGTTAAGGTCACACAAACTGGATGTAGAATACTTAGCTGACACGAAATGCGCAAACTATTTCTGCTCTTTAAAAACGTTAAGCTTTAAAAGATGAACAGATGCCTTTATTTGTCTGCTGTTTTTTTACACGTGTTCGCTGTGTTTCTGCAGGGGAACTGTTTGCCCAGGCGCCTGTGATGGAGTACCCCGGTGTTGCATTGGAGACTGTCAGTGATTCCAGCCGATACTTTGTTCTCAGGATACAGGATGACAATGGTGAGGATACTGACCTTGCCTCAAACAGGCTCCACATCACTTTAAAACTGGCATCCTTTTTTCCATGTTACAGCTACAAACATCTGGCTATTTAAATATGACATTTTTTGTTGTTTATGGATTAATACAAAGTAAAGCCAAATTGTAAAATGGAAGAATAGAGATAATTGCTTTTCAAAAACTGGTCTTCACTGGTTTTGCAGATCTACAGATTTACATATGTATGTATATTAATCTCTGCTATCCAATCCACCTTTATTTTTAAAGAGCATAATGGCAAATACAAATGCCAAATTATTTTACAGACTAAGGAAAACTATTTATCCCAAAAAAGTAAAAATAAATAAATAAAAAAGTAAAAAGAAAACAATCTACTGGACTTTATTTTACAAGTTTGAAGACGTTTTGCTTCCCATCCAGGAAGCTTTGTCAATTAAAAATGTCAGAATTAGAATTGACTTCCAAGCTTTAATGAGTAGGAAAAAAATATAAAGAATAGATCATTGCTGAGGCCTCATCGAGATGCAGAGAAGACTGGTCCTCTGACCTAAGAGAAGGAGGAGCCACGTAAACTAAAGTCTTTGAATCAAAAATAAGAAAATAAGATTCCTAAAAATGGATGAACAGCAAGACTGAGATAAGTTGCAGCGTTTTGCACCATATGCATATGTTTAAAGACTTTATTAACGATTTGCTAGAGTATCTGAGAACAGAACTATTTCTTGGATTTAGGTTTAAACATTTCTTTAAGAGCTCTGGTTGCATTTTCAGGGGGTCTTGTTCTAGTTTAATTTTTTTTTTCCATCCAGCTTTTCTCCAGAATTTAGGTATCCTTCTTCTCTTACAGCATGATCGGCTTTTCGGTCCCTGCAGCATAATGCTGCCACTGTCATGTTTCACCATCGGGATGCTGCAATCACTGAGTTAGTTCTTTTTTTTTTTTTTTTTACAAGCACAGCATTTTGTATTAAGGGCAACGTATTGTATTTTGTCGTCATCTAATCAGTAACTTTTAATGACTCTAGGCAACCTGTTTAAGTACATGCCATTTGTCAAATTACCCCATCTGAGCTGTGGATCCTGGTCAGCTCCTCTTGGCAGCTCTCCTTTAATAGTTTCCTTTCCTGGCTTCTCAGATTGGCTTGTCCTGCCTGTTTTTCTGTTCATTTGTACTTCCACTTTCAGATGAAGGATTTAGCAGATTTCTGTGAGACTTTTAAAGCTTGCTATATTTTTTGTAACCTAGCCTTCTCCCAAAGCTTCTCCCTGACCTGTCTGGTTGGTTCATGATGTTTTCTAACAAATCTCGAGGCTTCACAGAACAGCTGGATTTTAGGGGTATCCCAATCCGTTATAAATATTGGATATCGGTCCAATATTAACTCAAAAAATAATATTGTATTATATTTGCCAGCATCAAAAATCTCAGATATTTTCATGCGGATAGAATCACTCTGTTTCTGTTTAAAGTTTCTTTAAATCATCAGTAAATATTACATGGGTCAGTTGTTTTCATACGTTTTGTTGTTGACTATGGTTCTTATAGTGATATCAGTTGATAAAGCAATTTCTAGCATTCTACTGTACAAAATAAGTTATAAAAATATGCATTATTTGTATCGGTTCAATATCGGCAAGGAAAAATTGGTATCGCTACTGGATTAATAATACCTTAAATGACTATGTTAGCTCATTTCTGAAGGCGTTTGGTTGGAATGAATTTTATTTCAAGGTGCTGAGTAAAGACAATTGAATAAAAACGCACAAGACTCTTTTTATCTGTAATAAGTGACCCTGTGTATTCCGATTGTTTGACATTATTCCTTTCCGTTAGTTCTTCATAAAATACATCAAATTCTGATAAAATGAGACAAACCTGTAAACATTTTGGCTCTATGAGATGTTTTTGCCTGACTTTGTTGGGTATATTTATGCCACATCTACACTTGAAGTCTGTAAGCAAATCACCACAAACAGATTTTCTCATGTCAGGGCGCAGTGCTTTCATAGGGCTCGGCTTTGGGGACCGAGGGGACGCCTTTGATTTCAACGTGGCTCTGCAGGATCATTTCAAGTAAGCTAAACCATTCCAGCCAAAATCAAGTCATTTGTTCTGCTTGATCAAAACGATGTAATTGAAAAAAGAAAGTGTTTTGAATATAATAAATTTAAAGCTACTCTCGAATATGTTTAAAAAACAGTTTTCATGCATTTATTTAAAATTACATGTGAGGCGGCTCTGTGCTGACCTACTTGCAGATGTACAGCAGACTGATTCTGTGAGTTTTTATTTGTTTTAAACCCTTAGAAAAATAATTAAGACCTTGTTGTCCTGCAAAGTGCTGCCTAGTTTTTGAATCCTCACTGAGTCTTTGTCTCTCTGGATCCCTACAGGTGGGTGAAGCAGGAGAGTGAAATCAGTAAAAACAGCCAGCTTGGCAACATTCAACCAAAGCTGGATTTGGGCTTTAAGGAGGGACAGACCATCACATTGAATATAGGGGTAAGAAAACATCTGATTCTTCTTTTATTCTCTAATTGTTTTAATATTTTTATGAACAATTGTTTCCCATGAAACAAAGGAATATTTATGAAAGACACACAATTTGGTTAGCATCTTGTCAAAACTTTAAATAGTTTCTAGAATTAAGTTTTGCAGCATAATAAACAGACACTAGACGAAAGCACAAAATATTCTAAACACATTTGAACCAGCAGTAACATTTAGCATAAAGCAACACTTTAGGTACCACTTTTTCCAAAGACTGTTAATAGAAATATGTGTATCATAAAAATGTTTGCGTATTTAATTCAAACCATAAACTTGCTCATTTCCTCCCCTCCTAATCCTTTAACTTGGCTTAAATTTCTTCCATAAACAGCAGGGGAAAAAGCGGGATAAGCCCCGTCCACAAGGCTCAGCGGGAGTTGGACTCCTTCCACCGCCACCTGGAGGGAAGATAGCTCCGCCTCCTCCATCAGGCTCATCCAACCACAACATGGTCCCCCAGACAGCCGGCACAGCCTCAGGTTAGTGGAACAACACATTAAAGCTGCAACCAGGTCAATATGGTGTTGGTGAGCTGATATGAAAGTAACTGGTCTAATAATGATGGAAGTCTGGCGCCTTGGGCGGCTTTAACCTACATGAGTAACCCATTTTCTCAATCTTTATTATTCGGCGAATATCTGGCTTCAGGAAATGAGTGTCGGCTGTAAGCTGCATTAAACGGTTATTTTTCTTTGTTTCTGACAGGCTGCCTCTTGGAGCTGGACAGTAGTAACTCTAACACAGTGGTCCAGTCGAATCAGGGTTCAGATGTACTTTGGGGAGAATTCTCAGCTCCTGCAAGGTAAATTTCAAACTCAGCAGTGATGGAGACTTTGTGCTCAATGTAGATTCTCACATTTTCATAATACTGGCTATTGAGTGATAATATTTTGGCTATTTCCCCCCACAAATCTTTTACATTTTAACAATGGCTTAATACAGTGTTTTTCAATCCTGGTCCTCAAGGCACCCTGCTCTGCATGTTTTGGATGTTTCTGAGGTTCAGCAAACCTGATTCAGATAATTGCAGTTCAGCAAAGCATGATAATCTGCTATCAATTGATAACAGGTGTGTGAAAGCTAGGATACATCTAAAACATGCAGGGCAGGGTGCCTTGAGGACCAGGATTGAAAAACACTGACTTAATAGACTTCATTTTTATACATTGACAGACATTGTTGTTTTTTTCTCTGATTTATTTGCTCAAACCTTTTTTGTGTGTGAGTAGCGCAATAAAATAATTAATAAATGTGATGTTCTTTTGTTTTCAGCTTTTAATTGTAAAGATTGCACATTTTATTCTGTTATTTTTGTTTTGTCTTTTATGTAGTGAAATTCCGTAAGAAACAAAAGCAAGTCTAAATCCCCTGTTTGTGCTCTGACTTTCAGTTCTGTTCCTCCTCCATCAACACCTCAGAACTCCACAAACTGGATCCAGTTCTGATTCGCCGCTGCTTGACGTCAGCCGTGGTGTTTCATCTCGCCTGCGTTCGTGTCCATGGCTTCGTGTGAACCACACAGACAGCATCTCCCACACACTCACCCTCCTGGCAGCAGAGATAGCAACCGCCGCCGTTCTGTAAAATCATTCCACTGAAATAAAGCTTCTATTCAGTCTAAAATGCTGCCGACAGCAAATGAAGCATTAATGAGTTAAAGCCATGAAGTTCATATGAGCCATATACAACAACTAATAAGGGCTATGAAGCTGGTGTTACCCTTCATCTATTTGCATCTTTTCGCCTGTAGGGGGCAGAGCTACCTTTTGTTGCTGCATGAATTTACATTTTATTTATGTGAGGGCTCCATCTGCTGGCACCAAAGAGAACTAAACGTCTAGACTTAGCAGCTCTTTTTGGTATTTGGTAAGAAATTGAACAAGCAAAAAATGAAATAGACTTACAGAACTATTCTATTAAGATTAAAAGATCTACTGATTAGTATAACTCATCAGGATTAGCCCCTAAGTATGTTTTATATTTTTTTTTTTTTTTAAAAAAGAAATTTGAGGTTTTTTGAAATGATAAAAAATACATAAAACTTGTAGTGTAGTCCTGCATTGGCTGGAATTAATTTGTCTAAAACCCTTTTGTATAGATTTATTTTGGTAAAAAAGGTTGAATTAAATGCCAGCTTTAAAAAATTACCATTGTGTGCTGCAGAATTGATGTTTTAGATGAGGTTTCTTCATCCTGATAAATATATACAGATATAAGTAAAGTTATGATATAAAACCAAGTTTAATTTTATTACAGATTGCTCTGTCTACTGCAACAATTATAGTGGATGCAAATAATAATTTTCTTCTATCCCCACTCTTTAATTAAACAAACTGTAGAAGTTTAATGGAAAAATGAATGACCTTGTCTGAACTAAATAGGCCTTAAATCAAGATCAAACTGGCCATACTGCTTTGGAGCTGGAAAAAACAGCTTTGTGCAGTAAAGTGCAGCTAAGATCAGAGACTCTTAGAGGCAAAACTTGTCTATGATGACTTTAATCTTCAGAATATCATAAGGATGCGAACCTGTGGTGGTTTCTGTCGAACCACAGCTCTGCTTTTGGCATTTCCGCTTTCAGTGTGATCACTGTGACGTAGTTGTAGAGTTTAATTTGATGTAGGCTGTGCTGCTGCTGCTTCAATTGAGCAGTCTTTTTTTAAGGGAAGGTAGAATAATAATCTGCTTCGTTCTGATTCAATACTGAGCTTTTCTCTGAGGGCACTAATATTTTCTGCACAATAATAAAGTAATTCTGTACAACCTGCAGCAGATGCCCTTCCTTGTACACTGGGGCTTGAACCCAGGTGCCCTGTATTAAATATTTGGAATAACTACAAGTCTATGTATGTATTTATGTAGCAGGTTTTAATCCAGTTTGATCTGTAGAAAATTTTCATAAAGACATTGCAACAGTTTGCATCATTTGCAACCTTGCATCATTTGAAGGCATTTTTTTTTTCAGGTAAAGTTGTCGCCTGGTTAGCAGGAGAAGCATAAAAACTGATGTGGTTAATAAAAAATAGTATTGAGTCTGGATCCTAGTAGAACTTGGCAGATATTGTTGACATTTCCTATAATAAACCGAATGTTTTACTGTAGAGATCTGAGAGGAGCCATCAGAGCCGTGGAGGAGAAACAAAATGAATGTCGCTTCAGTGTGAATGTCTAAATGTGGATCTTATTGCTCTTAAATTCTGATGATGAATTCAGAAACAAGTTTACATTAATTTGTTTGATTTTTGTTACTGGCTGTGAATTAAAATGTCCTGCATAGATATATGAGAGAGATACTCGCATAAACGGTATTTAACTGGCATTAAGCTGTCAGAATGACTGTGTTATATTGTCATGAGTTATGTTTACATTGTTATTGCTAGAGAAAATATCATGTCCTTCATTTGTTGCTTTTTCCATTCTGGCTGTAAATTCACTGGACTAACACTTGATTTATGACCAATTCAATGAGAGAGAGGTAATAAAACCTTTCAAAGGATGGTTTGAAGTCTGCTTTTAGATGTTTTTGGAGCATTTCGCTACAGAGGTTTATGTCTCCAGCACTTATTATGAGAGAGAAGAAGCTTTCACTCTTTGGTTTCACCTAAAATGTGATCTGGTGATGATGGAGGCTGAATAACAGGAAATATATCCTGATGCTCAAGCAGCGTGAGAGTTTTTCAGTTTGTGGATTGAAGCAATACACTGCAGGTGGTAATCAATGAAGTCATTAATAGATAGATGTCCTCAATAGGCATGTCCCTGTGGTGTTTATGTTTATAATGCTGCTGTCACGGGTTTTTCTAAGATTTAATATGTTTACACTAAAAAAAGAGGCAATTTGTTTTATTATTCCATCATAGCCTGAATTTGCAAGTAGAGCAGGAAAAGTGAAAATCACAAATATAAAAGGATAAAAATTGGAAAAAGAAAAATAATTTGTTCTGGCATCTTTTCAGTAGAGCAAACATTTGCTGATGAATCATTTTTTTTATGTTTTTATTTAAAGGAAGGACAATAGTCACAATCACAAATGAAACCACTGATGAACAATAATAGGCACTAATGTTTGATCTTACATAATCAGCTTCCAGTGAAATATGAACTTTTATTTATTATAATCTTTTTACAGGGTTTTTCTTTTTGGTCTGAAATGTTTTTTTCTCCTACCTTTTGCTTTAAACTTTTACTAACACTTTATATACAAATATATTTCAGAGCCTTTAATGAGAAAAAAGGAAGAAATATCAATGTATGGCTGTCAGTGACTGATGGTTGAAGAGAAAATATGACAAACATGTCATTACAGTAAACTATTCAACATTCAGATCCGTATTTGCTCAAATTCAGTTTATGTTCTATAACTCTATATTTAGACCATATACATGCCCTGTCCATCCTCTGGTTGTCACTCTGTACTCTAAGAAGCTTGTTAATGAGGAAATGGAGACAGTCATAGTAGAAGTGAGAAATGTTGTGAGACGTTGGGACATGACTTCACCGAGCTGCAGCTTTTAGCTCTGCTGACAGACGGAAACGGAGAGCAGCAGACAGCTGGATGGACGAAGAGGGTCTCCCTAAGGAATTATCAGGAACTCAGTTCCTCTCAGAGTTTATGATGAATTCTGTTTACTTCCAAGGCAACATCGGACCGATGTGTCACCTGAATATGTTGGGAAAGCCTTAATGTCATTCTGAGAAAAAAATATTCGGTGAAAAAATCTGATATTAGTTTATTTTCAAAATAATTTTAGAGTGCATCAGAGTTCCCTGGTGCAAGCATGGTGGTGGTAGTATCATAGTGCTTCTAGTCTATATGAAAAACGTGATCACTCAGGCCATGGTTCATGCAAGTAAACCAACCAGTTTCAATAAAATCTGCCATTTCTTACCAGATTTTTTAATCTCCGGCTGGTTGACAAATAATTTGCTGGCGGTGAGATGAACTGAAACACATTTATCCAAATATGGGGTGTATGAAAATATATATGTATTCAGTAACTTAGGATATGACCTCTGAAGATGTTCATTTTTAAGCCTAAAATATATATTTAGAAATGTACGACTTTGTTATTCCCTCATTTCTGTATTAAAACTCCTCAGTCTTTTCAAATCTTTAATATCTTATCTGATGACCTAGTACCAGCTTAGCGCGGTCGGTTGTGTCTGGCAAGGTCCGGTTCAGTTTTGCGTGCCATTTACACTCAGCAGTTATCTCGGTTACCGTGCTCGGACCCGTCTCAGTACAGTTTCAAAAGGGTAGTATAAATGGAGCTATAATATAAGAGTAGACCCTGTATTGACTGCTTTGGCCTATGGACGCTGACGTGATTACGTGGCGTCATCTTGGGGCAGTCGACATTAATATTGTGTATTTGAAGAACATTATTGATTATATGTTCTTCAAATGCACGATATTTATGTCTGTAGAAACACTGTTTAGTACAGTATTTTGTTTAATTTTTAATATTTTTTTTAACTGTCACTTTTTCTGTTATTTTTATACACATTTTAAGTTCCACCACTAATGATGCTGTAATCGCTAATGCTGTAATTTATTGCTGCTGTAACACCACATTTACTCAATGTGGGACAATTAAGAGATTTTCGATTACATTTGATTCTATTCTATCCTATATATATATATATATATATATATTTATTTATTTATTTAATTTTTTTTTTTTTTTTTTTTTTTT